TAATTTTCTGAATTTTGAAAAAGATTTTGTCATTAAGAGGTTAAAGTGAAACTATAATGTATAAAAAGTATCAAATATTTTGCACAATTTTTATATGGCTTTCCTAAAGCGGTAATCAAATATGATAGTCAGGATCACAGGAATGGTAGTAAAGCGAAGAAAAAACTTAAAACAACAAAATAAATATATATATTGTTATTTTCAACATGCTGGTTGCATTGTAGATTCAACAAAACAGAAAAGAAAATATATTTAAGTATATTTAACGATATACGCCGACGATCTCCGCGGTTTTGCCATCGACTATTTAAAATCAAACAATAATAATTATAAAAAAAAGAAAGAATAAAGAAAAATAAAAGAACTGAATGAAAAAAAAGATTGAGAATAAATGTAGAACGGCGTTACACACGGCGACAGAAGGCGAATACCATCGCATACGTACATTCACATCATATATATACATACTTTGTACGTATACAGAGATGTGTACACATAAGAAAAACATACATTTAATGCCCGAACACAGATGCACTTTCATACGTGCTACGTACATACGCGTATTTGAAAAAACTGCCAATATCTAAGATAATTACAGTGATGAACCTTAATACTCTTCGCAATTACGATTATTCTTCAATCATTAATAGTTAAATTGATTTAATTAAAAGAGTGGGATTAACGCGCCTTTCGGAGTATCTGGATGATCTTCATGAATTTCATATCACATGTTGGTTATATTTAATATCCATTCGGAGTGGAAATTTGTATCTCATGTATATTTTGATATAATTATTGACAAAATAGGTTAATTATTTGAAAATAAACATGAAAAGTTATAAATTTATAAAAATATCGGTTTAAAAAATTTATGTTTATCTTTCATATGATTAAGTACTGCAATTGTTTAAGTACTGAATACAGCATCATTTGCCTAAAGCGTGTTGAGTGATAAATACAAATATTTGAAATACTGACCGAATTTCGATGTTCTACATATTGGCATACGTTATTCATGAATCGTATGAGCACATTTTTGTCATTATCAAAGATTTTAATTAGCCAACGTTTTAGTTAAACCAACCACTAATTTTGATTAATTCTGTTTTTCTTTCGTCTATAAAATTAAAATAAGACTTCAGCAACTCATTTACATACAATAATCGATAACATTAAAATCAAGAGGTTTTATATGCATTTGATTTAACATGATTCATCATCTCGACAGCTCTGATAGCGACACATTCCCATCTTTTAATACATACATCTTGTTTCAAACGGAGAAACGCGGTGGACGAACAAATTAAAAAAAAAAAACAAAAATTTAATTTATAGCATATAAGAAAACAAAAATAAAAAAGCATGACAGATTGCGATGCAAATACATAACGATGCAAATATCGCGTATACTCAACAGTATAACATTAATCTTACAAAATAATAACTCAAACATTTAAAAACAAAAACATATTTTACCAACAGATGTAAATTACGCATAATTGTAAAAATCGAATAATAATAATTCGGATAGACGGTTGTGTCATTGAAATATTGGTCGAATAGGATCACGGAATTGATCGGCTCATATGCGAAAGAAAAAAGAGAAAAGAAAACTTATATTATTAATGCGACACGAAATTAGTTAAGTATTATTTATAATATTTTCAAAATAAACAATATAAAAATAATGATAATTGTTATATAATAGTTAAGAATAAAGATTGATATTAATAATACAAAAATTATTTATCTATTCATTCACATTTTTTAAGATATGAAAATCTTTATGTTTATATTTCTTATACAAAAAAATAATAACATTTTATAAGTTTTGTTATTGAAATTTGCAAGTATTTACAACTATTTTGACAACGTTTTGAAAACATTTCAGACGTGCATTTTGCCAACCAATTCGTATTCAATTAGGTAAATAGCATAATAATATAACGACTGTAAGAAACAAAAATAAATCATTTGTTATAAGTACATTATTCCGTACTGTTATAATAGAAACTTTGTTTATGGAAGTAATTATCTCAAATAAGTGATCCTTATTTGACCATTCATTAATCGCACAGATATACGATTCGTTTTTATAGTACATAATTTTTTATATATTAGCGTCCTGTAAAAACGGACATAAAAGTATTTAAATGATTCTAATTCTGACTTAAACTGATAGTCTGCCATTGTTGTACTAAATTTGCGAGCGATCAATATTAGCAACAATAACAACAAGATGATAATCGCGATTGCTGTCGCGCGCAAAATGCTAGTAATATTATATATAAAAGTAATAGAAGTAAGTCATAATAATAATAATAAATGCCAATGGTAATATCGCCATCATTGGCAGAAGTACTAATAATATAAACATATAATACTAGTAATAAAATAATAATGATGACCATACAGTAATAATAGAATAGTAGCAATAATAAGAATTCTTATAATAATAATAATCAAATTAGAATAACAGATATAACTAATAAAGAGATAAACATAGCAATAATAATAGCCATAATAAACGTAGTACTAACAACAACGCACGTGCTGAAGAACAATGATGAAAATGATACGAACATAGAAGCATCTTTCAATCTTTAAACAATATTTGTGACTAGGCTCTATTTGTATATACGCACAAAATTAATGTGTACGCGTGCTCATTTCCTATTGTTAGTTAATCGATTATTGATTAGTATTAACTGTCTACGCTATAGTTTAAATGTTAAATATCAAATTATTTCTTCTGTTTATAAAATTTATAATATTTTACATATAATTTTGAAATACTTATACAGCACAAATATTTAAAGGATATTCTAAAGATGTCTAGAAGATGTCCTACATCCTGAGAACGTCCCTAGTATATCCCTCGGATGAAGTGTGCTATACGAGATATATTTGCTACTTATATGTATAGCAATCATTTGTACGCATATCAAAAAGCTATTTTGAAGCTTTATGTGGCTCTTGCTGATTGATTTATATATCTGTCTTTAAATAGTTTAGAATTTATGATTTATAATTTCAAATATTTGTTAAAATTTATACTTAAATCGATTTAAAATATAACAAAATAATTTTTTAATTTTTTAGCATTTTTATATATATTAATAAAATATATAATTTAATGTTTTATGTTTTTTAAATACACATAATTCAATAATAAACTTAATAACTTGAATTTATCATTCATCACATATGAAGCAATAATACAGATATTCTGTATGTAAATTCTTATTCAAGCGTAGACATTCAACACTGGCTTGGGTTAATCATTAGCATCGTAAGTACATCAATTAATTAAAGACACATCTTTGGTAATCTGTACGGAGCACGTTGTCCACTCAAAGATAATAGCAAATGTTAAATAAAATTGTCCATTTGCATACGATTTACCTGTAATGACGCCAATGCTCCGTTTATTTGGTCTGACGTATGTGTGCATATTAATGTTGTTGATGACAAAACAAGACTATGTACACTTAATTGTAAATGACAAGTAATTATAATAATGCAAAATAACAGAAATTATTTT